ACAGTGAGTGTTCTTATACAGCCATTCACAGTTAGAGAACAGAGAAGGGCCATGGACTGCTCAGGGCTGCCTGTTGCCAAATTGTCTGATTCTTGTTCCTAAAATCAGATCCCGTGGTTGATAATTCCCTGTCAGACTTGATTCCAGAGCTACTTCTCAGTGTCTGTAAGAGAAGGGGCAGTAATGGAAGTAGAGGTGGGAAATGGAGGTGGATGGGCAATTCTCCCTCATAAAATACATGTGCCATAACTGCTTTGTAGCACCTGAATGTGAACAGACAAGTTAGCCACTTGGGCTTTTAACTCTTTGTGTTTCAGTATCTGCTGTGTCCTCTTATTCTGAGACCCAGATGATGAAGATGGAGCCCAGCATCCTTGGCAATGCTCTTTCATGCTTCTTTATCTCCTCGATGACTCAGTTGCAAAATATGGAGATCAAAATCGGAAAGATCGTATTTACAGAATTTTAAGAAATAGAACTATTTTTTAAATGAACTATTTTGAACTTCGTGTTTATATTTAAGCCTAAACCTAAAAGAAAAAACTCAGGAATCAGTTACTGAGTCATGTATCTACACTTACAATCTCACTTTAAATTCAGTTTTTCTTTTTTATAGGACTAAAGCCAGTCTGCCTTTATTTAAGACCTACTTAGAGCACAGAATGCACTCTACCAACCCATGTGTTGCTCTGTTGGCTTTCTTCAGAAAGAACTTGTGATTGCATTATGACAAAAACATAGATACACATTTGTATCTCACAATATCAAAATTTATTGAATGAAAATAGATCCACAAGGTACAGTGGTTTCAGTGGAAGCAATTTACCAGATACCCTGACTTTTCATGACAGTCCTGGCTAAGGGGAACAGAGAGTTTCTTTTAAATTTAATATATTTTTTTTTTTGGTCTTTTTGAGACAGGATCTTCCCGTAGCCCTAGCTTTCCTGGAACTCACTATGTAGACCAGGCTGGCCTTGAACTCAGAGATCCGCCTGTCTCTGCCTCCCAAGTGCTGGCATTAAAGGTGTGTGCCACCACACCTGGCCAAATTTAAATTTTTAATTACTAATATTAACTCTCAGATCACATTATACACAGTAAACATCTATCTATATAGGTATATATGTCAGTTACAGAATGGCTGTAATAGTTGAGAGGAGCAGAATTAAAAGACTTTCAAAACTATCAAGAAGTATAGAAACTTGTAGAAATGCAAATAGCCTGTAGAAATAAGATAAAGAACCAACCTGAGTTGGAGATCTGGCTAGAAAGCCTGCTGAGGCTGTTGTAGAGTTAGACAACAGGGTCAGAGTTGACCTGCAGAGTTGAGTCCAGCTGCAGAAAGGGCAGGACCAGGTCCAGATGAACAAATGAACAGATGGATGAACAACACTCGATCTAGGCAGGGAAACAGTTGGAAGAGTAGATGGCAGTTTGAGGAGGCCATGTCAACACCAGAGACTGAGCTAAGCTGCAGGCCCTGGGATGGTCAGGGATTCTCTGCCTGTTGATACATCTACTAGGTGGTCAGGTAAGCCTGTCTCCACCTCTTTATGGGGTCAAGCTGAGGGTGTTATACCCTTTTCTTGGTCTGATGTGTCCACTAAGTTCTTAGGCCTGATTTTCCTGATATTATTTAATATGCTCACTGTACAATGGCTGTAGCTTTTATGTCACATTGCATAAACTTTCTTGTTCATTTGCATAGGACAGGCTTTCTTACACTTGTTCTATCTGCTACATGTAGTTCTACATACAACTTCATGCATTGCATGTCTCATTAGCACCCTAAATTTCCACTCCAGAATGTGGGTTTTAGTATTATAATAAGCTGTTATAATGAGCCATAGTCACCTTCAGACACTGGAGTACTTCTGTGCCAGAGCTACTAGCTGGATTTCGTCAACCTCATGGTGATGGCAGAGGGTGGTTGTTCTAGCCTTCTTCCTTGGCAACTGTTTTTTCCATACATCAATTTTTATTTGGATTTACATGAAACCTTCTGGATCTCATTCCTACCCTATTCTCCTGCTTCACTGGAGTCCTGTACTGAATAACAAGGATAAAAGGAGAAGGTGATTAAAAAAATTTGAAAAACAAACAAGCAAAAAAAAAAAAACAAAAAAACTATGAAAACTAACTAAGCATGAACCTGAGCAAGTGAGCCAGCAAGCACTATTCTAAAAAAGTAAACCTGAAAATCCTAGAAGTTTATATGTACAGCATTCCTTCATGAAACAAAGAACAAAGTTCGATTCCTCTAACTGTTGAAAACCCAGTCACAGACTGATTTACATTGTACATTGCTTTTTTAAGAGGTAAAAGTTGAGGCCAGTGTGATGACTAATGGGTAAAAATGCTTGCCACCAAGCCTTGCCACCTGGGTTAGATTCCTAGAATTCATGTGGTGGAAGGAGATAACTGATACCTGAAAGTTGTCTTCTGACTTCCACATATGTGCTGTGGTATGCACACCCACACACATACATATACATACACACAATGAATGATTAAATGTGTGCTGGTTCATTTTAATTGACACAACACATAATTACCTTGGAAGAGAGACTGAAAAGAGAGGAAAGCTGGCAGGCAGCATGGGTGAAACCTCTCTGTTCTTACTATGGATGTGATATGACTATCTACTTGAATTCCTGCCTTGCCTTCCTTGAAATGATGGATTGTAACGTGTAATAGTGAGCTGAAATAAATCCTTCCTCCCCAAAGCTGCTTTTGGTCAGGATATTTTTTTAAAAAGGAGAAGGTGAGCTGAAGGCCATCAGTCATTTCTCTCCCTGAATCACCTCTCTCTGCTTCCTAACTGTGGATACAGTGTGACCAGTTGCCTAACCTTCCCACTGCCAAGACTTTCCTACCAGGACTGGCTGTATTCTCTCAGACCATGAGCCATAATGAACCCTTCCTTAAATTGTTTTTGTCACTGCAATGAGAAAAGTAATATGTGCATCCAATTTCATAAGACAAACACTAATGGACACAAAGGATAGATCCAAATACAATAAAAAATGGGTAACTTCAATTACCCACTTTCATCAATAGATAGACCATCCAGACATTTAAAAAAAAATCTTCACAGTTAAACTGTAACATACATGAGCTGGACTTAAGACAGCTACAGAATATTCCAACAGCTACTGAATACATATAAAAATTCTCAACAGCCAAGGAACTTTATCCAAAATAATTCACATTTTAGGCCACAAAGCAAGTCTTAACACATACAAAAAAACATGAAATAATTTATTATATCTTATTAAATCATCATGGAGTAAAACTAGAAAGGTCAATCAGTCTTCAGCATCTTGAATATAGATGGACCTTCTAAGAACTAAGAACTGTAGTTCTCAGTACAAACTAAAGCCAGTCATCTTTAGTTAAAGTTTCCCAGTTTTACAAACATGTGAAAGTTGAGGTGCTCTAATTCTCCTCTCATTTGTGCTTCTCAATTGGGGGAGAATTCCCTTCTCTTGAAGATTTCCAAGTTAACCGATGGTACTCGGGCTTGGGATCAATTCAATGTGCTGTTTACGGGAGTAGCTTCCTTGGTTTCACTCTGAGGGTAGTTTCTCCAATGGTGACTTGGGTTTATCCTGAATTTTATGGAAGCTGAGAGAGCTTAAGGTACTAGGTGACCACTCTTTATATGCGTCTTAGGAGATGAACAGAAAATTTCCTTCTGTTCCATTAATGAAGCATATCATTTTGTGGTCTCTCCCTGAAAGCCATTTACATCCTGGGGACTTTTGCCTAATGTTCTTGTCTCTAAGACAAGAACCTGATTGATTGCACCCTTTGAGGCTTAAAGGAATAAATGTCTTATACCTGCAGCATTTTTATAATCAGGTGCTCATAGAGGTTCTATACTAAAAAGAGCAAGTTTGAAAAAAAAAATGAGATTTAAAGAGTGAAAAGGCAATTTCAGATAATGGAGGAGCTCTTGGAGAAATGAATGGGAACCAGGGCCTGACGCATGTTCTGAAACAACCACAGACTACTCAGTACCCAAAATAACTCAGAATAAACCAATAAGTTGTCAATCAAAGAATGAGAGGTCCAGACCCCAAAAAGTCTGACAAGCAGCATTCTATCTCTGCATACACACTCATGTTTCCAATCAGTCTGTGCTATCTTTAAGGCAGAGATAGTTTTTTCAGAGAATTTCAGCTCCAAAAATTTAACAACACGTTTCAATTATTCATATAGAACACAGCTAGCCATCATCATTGTTTTTGAACAATCAGATAGATATTCAAAATAACACTCAGGGCTAATGTGCATGTAGTTCAGTGTTAAAGTGTGGTTTTAGCATGCCATGATGCCCTACATTCAATCCCCATTACACACACACACGCAGAGAGACAGACAGACAGACAGGCAGACAGACACACAGACACACAGAGAGGTACAGAGAGGCAGAGATAGAACAGACTAAAAATTACATAGAGAAAATAAAAATGAATTTATGAAAAAAAGAGCCATGACTTACCAGTAGGAACGAGTCTTTCCTTTGCTGGGCTTTGATATTGCTACAGGGATCAGTAGGCTTGGAAGCTATTGAGGAAGGATGCATCCCTCATGATCAACTTTGGATCCCGTCTCCTATTTTCCTGGTAACATTAGAAAGGGAAACATACCGTATGAAAAGGTGGGAGTTTGGGGGCTTTCTTGAGGCCCATTAAGGGGAAACTACTTCGTCATCCAAAGAATGGAATATACCTCTGACCCTGAATAAAGACATCACATTCTGATCTGCTCCAAAAACTAGAACACCATGTACTATTGTCTATCCCTTAAGAGTTGGGCCAGATGTGGTAGCGTATGCCTTTAATACTAGCACTTGGGTGGGAGGCAGATCTCTGTGAGATGGAGGCCAGCCTGGTCTACATAGCAAGTTCCAGGTCAGCTGTAGCTACAGGGAGAGCCTGTCTCAAGAAAAACTTAATCCAATTGGGCCTGTCAATCACCTGGCTAGGAGATCACCCCTTGGGAAAGTTAATTCACCTTAAGACATGCTGAGGAGATGGAAGAAATAATTATTCTCTTAATGAGATAAGGTACTTGTCCACTGTAGAAACCCCTCCTTTGGTACAGCGGATTATGGCGTTTCCACCATGTAGCTCTGCTAAGCCTGATCACTTTTCTGCGTTCTAACAGAAAAGTGTAACTTTTCCTTTTCCTGTTCCTTCTTTCTCTCTTTTTCTTTTAGCTATGGGCCACAAGCCTAAGCATGCTTTCCTGAACACTCAGAGCTTTCTCATTGTTTCTCTGAAGACCACTCCCCTTTCCACACAGCTGCTTGCTGACCCCCAAGTTAAACATGAAGGCTTCCTTGGAACCTAATTCAAGGTATAACTCTTTCCCTGTTCTCCAACTCCCTCCTCACAACAGCTGCCAAGATTTTCATCTTGCTCGCCTTGTTTCTCTTTCAAATTCTAATAAAGTGTTCC